AAATGCGGGCCGGAGTGTGAACTTGAAAGAACGCAACACTCCTTTCCCTTGGCTAGGTGCATGCGTAGTCTTGTAAATAGGCGGGGCAACATCTGACATGCCCCGACCTTCGCAATTCAATCTGAATAGTCATTGGAGGAGGATCTGTTGCAGGACCAGCCTTCTCCAGCAGTGGTGACCCAGGAATTCCCGTCATTGGTGGCTCTTGCTAGATTGAAGAATCGTCTGAAAGTAGGCCTTCCTTGGGACTGGGCTCATCAGTTGCTGCCTCAACGTCGGGGTTGTTGGTCCATTCATGGGTAGGTCGGGTAGCTTCCTCCCGGTCGTCAGTGGGTTGGCAACCTGTGAATGCACTCCAATGCACTCCTAAATGGTCAATGTGGCACTGCCATACTCAGCTGTCTTGAAGCTGCACTTTATATGCATAATTGTCCAACACCTGGTTGGGCTGGGTCAATAGAGGCGTTGCCAACGTGCTGCAGAACCTGACAACAAACTAATAAAAAAAACCCACCTTATCCCAGTCAGTGGAGAAGTCCTTCGGCCAAAGGCTCATATAAAGCTGGCACTGCCCCAAAAATGCTTGAAATTGGGCTAGCGATCCATCAAATTTATCTGGCACCACTACCAGACATTTATGGCATGGCCGGACAGCTTGCATCTGCGCAACCTGTGCAATCAAAGGAGCCACTTGCTGGCTTAACTGGGTGATGTCTGCTCTGAGCTGATCCATGGCCACCCCACGAAAAGCAGAAACAAGTTGAAGGGTGGCTGGAGACAAAATGTGATGACCTGGAGTATATCAAAACTGTAACAAAAACCAAAATGTAAATAAAGGTCCTTTAATGCCTTCAACTTGGCTTCACTGTTTAATTGTTTAATTGAAGATTAAACTATTTTCAAAATAGCATTCCAAATGAAAGAAACACAGTTCAAATTCAAAAAGCAGATAATGAAGCAAAAACCAAAACCAAACCGCACTGAATAAAGTACCACAACAGACCAGATAAATAATTACCAACTTCAGGAAGATAACTAAATACAATCCATTGGAAGAACGCCAACCAAGATAAACCTCATCTAGGAATAAAACACCAATTTGTCTCCAGTGTTTGTTAGCACGCAGGTCCAAACTCTTATGCAGATCTCACACCTGCAACCCATGAAGAGGATCATGGCCCTCTCCCCCCGAGTGGAACACGTTTTTCCCCTGATCCTCTCCTCCCTGCGTGCGCTAGGATGGATAGGGGATAGGCCTGGGTCCTCCTCTGACTCAGAGTCAGTCTGTACCAGGAGCATGGCAGGTCCCACACGCTGCAAACCACTTGATCCAGTAACATATCATCAAGATGATCTCTGAAACTGCAGTGTAAAGCAGCTGTCTGAAGAGCAGCCATGTAGGAGCTAATTGTTTTTCCCTCAGCCTGAGCTCCTCATCTAAACACGTGCCGCCTTGCTATGCATGAAGGTTTTGGCGCGTAATGATTCCTGAGAATCTCCGGAATATCATCCCAGGATACAGACTTTATTGCCTGTGGGGCTAACAGGGCAGTCGCGGTATCAAAAACCGTAGCACCACAAAAACTGAGAAAATAAGCTTTCTTCCTATGACTTGAGTTTTCAGTCAGGTCAGCCGTGTCCAAAAAACAATTGAAACAATTGATATATAAGTTTCACGTCTCCGTAGTTGGGTGGAAACACAGAAATGCCAGTGAAGTTGACATCGTTAGCTGTTGGTGAGGAAAAAATAAAAAATTCAAAATCGTAACTCAGCTCTTTTTCCAACAGCTAACCAACTTCAGCTTAATCGTCTCAGCGCATGGATCCACCTTAGTCACCAGTGTTGAATTGCAGTGCTCAGGAAAAGGCAAGACAAGGTACTCTGAATGACAAACTTGTTTATTTAACAGCAATGGGTTACTCAGTTACTCGCGGCAGCCTACAGCTAACAAGTGCGGCTCGTGGCGGGTAATAGCTGATGCCATCAGACAGCTCCCTTTTATATGTGGCTGTCAGACAGCTAGCCAATAAACAGTGGCTCTGGCTCCGGCTCAAAATGCGGACCAGACTGTGAACTGAAAAGAACATAACACTGTGTATCTGTCTGGGCAGGGATAATGAAGGGATTTACCACTGATGAAGGCTAATATATGTGTCCCAGGATAATGTTGCAGGATCCAATCTGGGTTGGTCACTTGGACCAGAGGTTTAGTTTTCTGAGCTGAGAGGCACACGTCACGGATTTTGTAACTTGCTAAACTAACATGGTTACTTTGCATTTTACTTTGATTTATTTTCTCTCGTTTAAAATATTCAGGTTTATTAGTTTGTAACATTCCTAAGCTGATAAAACAGGCTGGAGCTTCAGATATGAAAAAGTTTGTTAGTACAAATTGAGTTCTGGTTTATCTCTTTTATGAACTTCAATCTTTTTTCCTTACAATTTACACCCCTTCTGACCTCCAATGTCATTTTAATGAACATGAGTTAATGCAAATAAGTAACATGTTTGACTGCATATAAGTGATTTCCTATACAATGGGGAGGTTACTTTTATCCTGTCCAATCAACTTTACTCTTGCATTTTCTGTGTGGTGTTAACTATAAAAAGGAATGAAACGTGGGGCTCGAGGTTCTCTCTCTCTCTCTCTTTTCATTGAGAGATCCCACTTTATCAGGGTACCTAAAAACTTCTTTTAAATGATCTTGTGACTCAGTTGTTTATTGGGAAGGTAAATTGAGGCAGAACGTGGGGCCAGATTTGGCTTTCCAAGCTTTTGGACTCATGCTGGAGCCCATCTTCCAGAAACTTCTCTCTAGCAGATTGGGTTTACCAGTTTCTGGATTGCATTTATTTCACCTTCCTAGTGGTGTCCCCTCCAAGGAGTAACCAGGTTTGGCCTGGTTTACTTTGGGCTGCCCCCTGCTGACAGGCAGGCCCATGGGAAGGAGCCAGGAGGGGCATTCTAGGTGAGTCTGAGATTTTTGGACGGAAGATGGCCGGTTAGAGAACACATCAAGATGGAGAAAGCTACTTCCTTCAAAAAAAAATGAGGCAGGTCCACAGATGATTGCAGCAGACGGCTTCATATCAAGCAGCAACTCCTGGTTACATTTTGAGTGCTTGGTGCTCTGGGAGTTGGGTTTGCTTTGCTTTCAGACTTTTCATAACCCGAGTTAGGCCCTGATGTTACGCGGTTGGGTCACGAAACGTCTGCAAGCAAAACACCAACTCCATACTTCAACACTGAGCTACAAGACTCACTTCTATTGGAACTCCCAGTTATAGCCATATCATCAGTTGGTTATGGTTAAGTAAAACCATGTGGTTCAATAAAGCCAGATAACCCCCATGTAGTAGCTGAAGAAGATTCTTGGACGAGAAGCAAAACATCTTTAAGGGAAAACAAAACAAAACAAAAAACAAGGTCCAGTTGTGTGGTGGTCTGACAATTGAAAAATGGGAGACGCAGGGAAACGTCTG